GGGGGACCCACCCGGCCGCCCGCCTGCCGCGGCGCCGGCTGCAATGGGTGTTCGGCAGCAGCGAGGACGAGCACGGCGTGTGCTCCGACTCAGCCGCACCACTGGCCGCCGTGGACCTCAAGTGGGCCACAAATCCCAGCGCCTTCCTGGGGCCCGGCTGCATCTACGCCTCGGCACCTGTGGCCCGCTTCACACGGCACAGGCGCCTGCCCCTGGTGACGGCAGGCGCCGAGGCGCACGGCTTCGACGACAAGGCAGACGTCTATGCACTGACCACACGGGCTGGCCCCAGCCACCGCAAGCTGGGCGCCTTCGCCGTGGCCCTGCAGCGCCACTTCAACTGGACACGCCACGCCATGCTGGTGTACTGGGACGACAAGCTGGACGACCGGCCCTGCTACTTCGCCATCGAGGGCATCTATGTGCAGCTGCCCGGCTTCCACAACCTCACTGTGCTCGACATCCCCTTCAAGGACCAGGACAAGGCCAACTACACCTTCCTTGTGCAGGAGATCAAGAGCAAGACACGGAGTGAGTGCCCCCAACCCCTGCCCCATGTGCCCCACAGGCCCCAGGCCCACTCTGAGCAGTGAAGGTTTGCCCCAGCGCCCCAGGCCTGGCTGGCAGTAGGGGTCAGGGTACGGGTGAGAAGGGGACACATCTGCTGTGACCAGGGTGGGGGAGACCGTACTCCTGCCTTGCTCCTGGGGGGCTCGGGAAGAAGCAAAGCCCCAAATGGGTCAGGGGGCAAGTGCATCCCCCTTCCCCGTTCCCCTCCCTCCAGGGCGGGAGCTCCCAGCAGCTCCCCCAGCCTCCGGGATCGGGGAAGGGAACAGCCCGAGGATTGGAGAAGGGGGCATCCTCGGGGAAGGGGTCAGCCCCCCAGCCCCAGCTGAGGTGGGGGGGCCAGGCACAGCCAGACGGGGCTGCACCCAGGGCTGGGCACCCCCACGGCTCCTCCTTTCCCCCCCGGACCCAATCCTGAGTTGTTGGCCAGCCCTTGGAACGTTTCCCCCGATGTTCCTGGGCTTTGGATCGGGCCCTAATGTGGTACAAGAGTGTGTGTGTGTGTGTGTGCGCATGAACAAACACGTGCATGCATGCACGCACAACAGTGCATACAAACAGACCTGTCATGGCAGAGCCTTGTTGCACAAGCAAAATTGGTGCCAAGCCCCCTCCAGTCTCCATTACCCCTGGCATGTCTCGGGTGTCCTGGCAGAGGGTCCCAGCCCTGACATGGAGTGGGAAGCATGATGGAGCCACCGGGAGCCCTGGGGGGAGCCACAGAGCCATGATGGGTCCCCGGGGTCTTCTCGGGGTTGACCCCCCAGGGTCCTCTCACTAGCTGCTGTCACTGGGACCCTCCATTGCCCCACCCTGGGCACCCCTTCCCCGTCCACCCCCCACAGCTGAGAGCCCCATAAACAGCTGCAAGGCTGGGGCAGCTCCATGACCACGGAGCCTCGCGCCCCTGGGTTTCCACTGGGCCCTGCAGGAGCTGTGGTGGAGGGAAGGGCAAGCGCCCGCCCAGCCCATAAATCACGGCAGGATCTTGGCAGTGGGAGAAGGAAACAGAGTCCTCAAAACAGGACGTGGCAGCCACGGGGCGGGCAGGCAGGGCAGGGCAGGCCACGCCGCACGGACCGGCCCCGCTGCAGCCCCGGGGGGCACATGGCCCCTCACCCAGCTGGGCAGGAACACAGCGTCCGCGCGGCAGGACAATAACAGGATGTTCCCTGCGTGCTGGGCTGGGCCAGGGGGGCAGGGATGGCTCTGCTCCCCTCTGTCCGGACACGGCCCTCAGCTGCCCACGCTGGCATGACCCTGAGATGCCCACAGCGGCTCCTGGCACCTGTAAAGAGCAGCCCCTGTGGCCACCGCTGTGGGGTTGCCCCCATCCGTGGGGGTTCTGTGGACCCCCACACCTCTACAGTGCCTGTTGCTAAATGGGGCAGGTACCAGGTTGTGGGGAGCCTCCGCCACTGCTGAGGTGTGAGTCCCTGCCCCTGGCCCTGGGCCAGAGCTCAGCCTCATGCACCGTGTCCCCTTCCCAGCCCTGGGGCAGGTGGCACCAGGGACCCCAGGGGTGGGACACAGCCAGGACAGGGTGCCCCCAATAACCATGCCCCCTGCCCCACAGTCGTGTACGTCTGCTGTTCCCCGGACACCTTCCGGCAGCTGATGCTGGAGGCGCGGCGCGAGGGGCTGACACGGGGCGACTACGTCTTCTTCTACATTGACATCTTTGGGGCCAGCTTGCAAGGCACCCGCTTCCCTGAGCCCCGGCAGCCCTGGCAACGCAGGGACAAGCACGATGCCAGCGCCAGGGAGGCCTACAAGGTATGGCCCACCCAGATGCCTGGGTTCTCCATCCAGGGAGCTTGGCAAAGTGCGGGGTGGCTGTGCCAGGAGGTGGCACCCAGTGCCCGAGGGCTCCTGGGGCTGGCCAGCATCCTGGGGTGGGGCAGCAGGTGTGACAATGGGGCCTTGTAGGAGTTGCTGAGCTCCCGCCAGCTTCCCTCAGGGCTCAGCGCCCAGGCGCGGGGGGGATGCTTTGTGGGGGCTGCACCAGCACTGGAATCTTTGCCCCTAGCAGGGGGCACAAAACCTAGGGCGGTTCATGGGTGTCATGAGCATACGGGGGCTCAGCCACATGCCTGGCCCCTGCAGGAGGGGGACATGCAGCCCTGGGCTCCCGTGGGGTTTTGCCAGCAGCTAACGAGGAGGAAGGAAGCTGGATCATTTTCCTGGGGCCGAGTGGACGCTATTAATAGCCCCAGAGCGGAAAGTCGCCCCCACCACCGCTGCTGCCGCCACTGTCCCTAAGGAGACCACAGCTTGGAGCGGCCAGAGCTCCCCGGCAGGGCCCGATCCTGGCTGGCGCAGGGACCAGTCCCGGTCCCTCGCCCCCTGCCCTGGCTCTAGCATCTGGTGGCAGGTGCTGTGGCTGGAGCCTAAGGGCATCTCCAGCTGCCCCCAACTCCATCCGGGTACATGGGGTGAGGGCAGGAGATTTGCCGTCTGCCTCCCAGGGCTTTGGGGCGAGGGCATCTGGCTGCAGAGAGGGGCAGGTGACCTGCTCTGGGGGCATTAACCCCTGCCATGCCCCCTCCCCACCCCATGTGCCGCAGGCCGTGATGATCATCACCTACAAGGAGCCCGAGAACCCCGAGTACCGGCCCTTTGTGCAGGAGCTCAAGGCTGCAGCTTGCACCCGCTTCAACTTCACCATGGAGGACAGCCTGGTAGGGGCCCAGAGTGGGGAGTGGTCTGGGTGGCAGCAGCCCTGCTTGGGGGGGAACAAGGTACAAGGTAGATTAGAGCTGGCAAGGTGCAGCACAGCATGGACAGAGTGCAGTGCAAAGCATGCACGCACACGCAAACACGTATGTGCATGTAGCCCGGCACAGCCGGGGGCCCTGAGCCAGTGCACACCTTACAGATGAACTACATCGCAGGCGCCTTCCATGACGCCGTGCTGCTGTATGCCCAGGCCGTGAACGAAACCCTGGAGCAAGGCGGCGATGTGGGTAATGCCACTGCCATCACGCGCCAGATGTGGAACCGCACCATCTACGGTGAGCACTGGGCCGGGGGGGAGGGTTAGGGTCTCCCGCCCTGCCACGCCCTAAGCCGTGTGCCGTGCCCCTGTCCCTGGAGCTGCTGCCAGACTGGGAGGCAGGGGGTGACTCTGGCCAGGAGCCCCTTTTTCCAGGGTGCCCTGAGGACGAGGGCAGGGAGCCCCAGCCCTACCCTGCCCCGCCAGCCGGATTCTTTCCCACGACACTCCCAGGGCTGGTATTTTTAGTGGCACTGGCGCCATGTAGGACCGGAGCCACTGGGTGCAGATTTACAGCCGGCGGGGCCACAGGGTGGCGCGGCTCTCCCTGCTGGACCTGTCGCGCGCCCCCCACACTGTCTGCCCTGGCAACCCCCCAGGCCCAGTAACATGCTGGCCAGAGGATCCCCTACAAACAGCTCCCATATCCCATGAAGGAGGCTGCATCCGCACAATGTGACATGGGCAAGGGGTCTCACTGGACCCTGACACCACCCCAGAAGCAGCCGCATCTGAGCCCGGGGTTCTCCAGCTGGGAGCCGCAGGATCCGTCTGCCTGAGCCCAGCTCTCCCCTTCCCACAGGTGTCACTGGCTTAGTGAAGATCGATGAGAACGGGGACCGGGAGAGCGACTACGCGCTGTGGGATATGGACCCTGCGTGGGGCGAGTTCCAGGTCTGTGGGGGCACCAGGCCCTGCCCCATGGTGGGATCGGCCACCCAGGATGCGCTTTGGGGGGCAAGTGAGTTGGGACCCCAGCCCCGCCTACCCTCCCATTTGCTCTCCCCCTCCTCAGATCGTGGCCAGCTATAATGGCACCAGCAAGAAGATCCGTGCAGTGCCAGGCCGGCACATCCACTGGCCTGGGAACGTGGTGCCCCCAGACGTCCCATTCTGCGGCTTTGACAACAGCAACCCCCTGTGCCACCAAGGTCAGTGCCAAATCCCTGCTGGCTTCCTATTGGCCCCGGGGCCCATGCCCAGTCCTGTCCCCGCAGCCCCTGGCCCAGGCTGGATCCAGCCCTATGCACAGGGTGGGTCCTGACCCCAGCTTTGCCTTGCAGGCAGCTTCTCCACGCTGGAGATCCTGGCGCTCACGGTCAGCCTCATCTTCTTGGCCATTGCCATCGCCTCCTTCTTCGTCTACAGGTGCGGGGGCGGGCAGGGGGCTTCTTCTCCAGCCTACACCCCCCAACCCACTTGGCATGTGGCCTCCAGCATTAGGGTCTTGGGGGGGGTGTCTCCCAGCCCTGCGGTGGGGAGGGGGTGCAGGAGCAGGATAGGGGGAGCTAGGGGGGTGGGGATGCGGGGCAGCTCTGGGGGCACCTCGCATCCGCTGGGAGGACGTGCAACTGAGTGGGCTGGAAAAGCACCTGCGCAGCGCCGGCAGCAAGCTCACGCTATCCTTGGTGAGCATCGCGGGGACCAGCCCCGGGGCTGGGGGGGCTGGGACAGTGCCGGTCCCGCGGCTGACGCCCCCTCATTCCCCACAGAGAGGCTCCAACTACGGGTCCCTGATGACAACCGAGGGGCAGTTCCAGGTCTATGCCAAGACGGCCTACTACAAGGTGGGGGGGTTGGGCTGTAGGGGGGAGAGGGGACCCCTGGGGGACCCCTGGGGGACCCCGACACAGAGCTTCTCTGCCATCTGCCCCCAGGGCAACATCGTGGCTGTGAAGCACCTGAACCGCAAGCGAATCGAGCTGACGCGCAAGGTGCTGTTCGAGCTCAAGCATGTAGGTACCAGGGGGTTGGGGGGAGGGAGACACATCCCCCAGCCCCCCCCCAGCTCATTTGCATCCAATTATGCAGCTCTGGGGGGGAGGGGGCAGGCAGGCTGGGCCCCCGAGCTGGGAGTGGGGGCATTGGGGCAACCATGTGCCCGCTCCCTCCTGCCTGGGCCACACCAAGGCGACACAATGGTTTCCATCCACAGCCCCCATAACAGGAGCACGGGGCCCCCTGCCTGGCCTCCCCCCTCAGCCCCCTTCACCCCTGTGGCCAGTGGGGGGGGAGGGGGTCCACAGGCCAAACAGCCCCACCCATCCCATGGCTGGTTCCAAGGCCTCGCTTCTGCAGCGCTGGCCAGGACACCGTGTCCCGGCATCAGCGCGAGGCCTGAGAAGGGACTGGGGGTGGGGGGGATCACACGTGCACAAACAGCCCCCCTCCAAAAAACCCTCCGCAGATGAGGGACGTCCAGAACGAGCACCTGACTCGCTTTGTGGGCGCCTGCACTGACCCTCCCAACATCTGCATCCTGACCGAGTACTGCCCCCGCGGCAGCCTCCAGGTACAGGACGGGGGTGCAGGGTGCCCGAACTCCTGGTTCCCCCCTGGGGCTGGGGTGGAGTGGGGGGTGGTGGTTAGAACGGGGCCCCCGGGGAGCCCGAACTCCTGGGTTCCTCTCCAGGGTGGAAGGATTTATTCATTGAGAAGTGGGGGCGTGGGGGGAGGGGTGCGGCGGCCTCCCTCTCTGCCCCCCTCCCCCAGGGCTGCAGCCTTCCAGGGAGGAGCTGCTTGCCAGGGGGATGATTTATGGGGGGGCCTCTTCTCCTTCCCCGGCCCCCGCCCACCCAACTCCTGGCGGCCTGCCCTGCAGCGCAGGCATTTCCTCTCCTGGAGGGGAGAGGGGGAAGGGAGGGCGGGAGCCAAGAGGTGTGAAAGTCCAGGGAGCGACCCCCCCCCCCCCCCCCAAGCAAGGGGCGGGGGGAGCGGGCTCTGCTGCTGGCACAGCCCTAGTGTAGATGCTGCCCTGGGGCCGGTCCCAGCCCAGGGCAGGATTATCCCCCTCTGAAATCCCATTGGGTTGTCAGGTGGGGGGAACAAGGGTCTCAGCTCCCTTGTGTTGCGCCCCCCACAGGACATCCTGGAGAATGAGAGTATCACTCTGGACTGGATGTTTCGCTACTCGCTCACTAATGACATCGTTAAGGTAGCTCCCCCGCAGACTCCCCCTTTACCCCTCCCATGGAGCCCTCAAACCCGGGGTCCCAGGGGTCGCAGCACCTGACCCTGTGCGCCGTGCAGGGGATGCAGTTCCTGCACAATGGCGTGATCGTGTCCCACGGAAACCTCAAGTCATCCAACTGCGTAGTGGACAGCCGCTTTGTGCTCAAGATCACGGACTACGGGCTGGAGAGCTTCCGCACTGCACCCGACTCCGACGACTCCCACGGCCTCTTCGCCAGTGAGCACTGTCAGGGCTTGGGCTGGGGGGCCAGGAGTCCCACTCCAGTGTAGGGTCCACCAGAGCCATGCTGACCCTCGCCCTCCCACAGAGAAGCTGTGGACGGCGCCCGAGCTGCTGCGCATGGAGGTGCCCCCGGCCCGTGGCACGCAGAAAGGCGATGTGTACAGCTTTGGCATCATCCTGCAGGAGATCGCATTGCGCAATGGGGCCTTCTACATGGAGGGGCTGGACCTCAGCCCCAAAGGTGTGGCTGGGGGATCCCATCCCTGGGGGGACAGCGTGGCGGAGCCGGGGGTCCTGGAGCCCCCCGGGCTGAGCCTGCCCTCTCTGCAGAGATCATCGAGCGGGTGAAGAGCAGCGAGTGCCCCTGCTTCCGGCCCACGGCCAGTGTGGGCTGCCATGTGGAGGAGCTGGGGCAGCTCATGCGGCGCTGCTGGGCCGAGGACCCACTGGAGCGCCCCGACTTCAACCAGATCAAAGTCCTGCTGCGCAAGTTCAACCGGTGAGGGCGGCCCCGCGCCGCAGGACCCACCATGGGCAGACCCCATCTGCAATTGCAGTCAGACCCCCCCCATTGCAGCCAGATCCCTTCAGTCATCGTGGTCAGACCCCTCCATCCCTGCTAGACTCCCCCCATCCTGGCCAGACCCTATCAGCTATCCCTGCTAGAGCCCCCATCACAACCAGACCCCCCCCATCATGTTCAGGACTCTCCCCATCATGACTAGACCCCCCCATAACAGCCAGGACCCATAAGCCATCACTGCTAGACTCCATTGAATCCTGCCCAGACCCCATCCTCTATCACTTCTAGCCCCCTGCCATTACACCCAGACCCCATCAGTCATCTCAGTCAGACCTGCCCCCCCCAAATCCCTGCTGGACTCCCCCCATCACGGCCAGATCCCCCATTACAGCCAGACCCCAGCACTGCCAGAAACACCTCCATCATAGCCAGATCCCATCAGTCATCATGGCCAGACTGCCCCCTGCCCCACTATACTCCCCAAATCCTGGCCAGAACCTATCCGCTATCACTGCTAGACTTGCCCATCACTGCCAGAACCCCACCCCCCCATCCTGGCTGGACCCCCCCCCCATACCAGCTAGACCCCATCAGTCATCACAGCCAGATGCTTCCCATCCCTCCTACACTCCCCCTATCACAGCCAGACCCTATCAGCTATCCCCCACCATCATGGCCAGACCCCCATCAGCCACCCCCCAGGCTCTGCCCCCCGCCCACCATCTGGCTCTGGAGGGTACACGGGTATCCCCAAGCGCCATCCACGTGTAAGCAGGGCCATGCACCCCAGCCTCGGGTAGTCGGGGCAGTGGTGGGGAGCAGGGGGGATGTGGGGGAGAGTGGAGGTGTCCTCCACCCACTTGCCCAGCGCTGGCCCCATGCCTTGCAGGGAGAACAGCAGCAACATCCTAGACAACCTGCTGTCGCGCATGGAGCAGTATGCCAACAACCTGGAGGAGCTGGTGGAGGAGCGGACACAGGCCTACCTGGAGGAGAAGCGCAAGGCCGAGGCTCTGCTCTACCAGATCCTGCCCCAGTGAGTGCCAGGGGGGTTTCTCTGGGCCCTGACTGCCCCCCACACCCTTCTCAGGCAGAGCAAGGGGCTTGGCGGTACCCCCACTCACCCATTCCCTGCCAGCCCTGTGGCCGAGCAGCTGAAGCGCGGTGAGACGGTGCAAGCCGAGGCCTTCGACAGCGTCACCATCTACTTCAGTGACATCGTCGGCTTCACAGCGCTGTCGGCTGAGAGCACCCCCATGCAGGTGGAGGGGCAGGGGAGCACCCTCAGGCAGGGAGCTGGGTGGTTGTTTGGTACAGGGGTCCTGGAGGCAGCCAGCTCTGGGGTTGTGCAGGGAGGGCATAACACCCTGCCTCAATGCAAGGCAGGAAGGGTAGGGGGTCTTGGGCAGGTGAGGGGGTCTCACAGCTGCACCCCTTCCCCCCTCGGCGGCAGGTGGTGACGCTGCTGAATGACCTGTACACCTGCTTCGATGCCATCATCGACAACTTCGATGTCTACAAGGTGAGGGGCGGAGAGCCAGGACACCTGGGTTCTCTGCCAAGGCACTCGGGACTCCTGGATTTGGTCCTCGGGGGCACCAAGGTCCTCACCAGGAAGTGCTGCCTGAGGGGCAGCCTGGAGGTGCCGAGGGCCGGACCCTGCAATGGGGCTGGGGAGAGCGAGGGGGGTCCTAGCTGTGTCCCCCTCGCCCACCCACAGGTGGAGACAATCGGCGATGCCTACATGGTGGTGTCGGGGCTGCCTGTGCGCAACGGGAAGCTGCACGCCCGCGAGGTCGCCCGCATGTCATTGGCGCTATTAGACACTGTGCGCTCCTTCCGGATCCGGCACCGCCCTGACCAACAACTCCGACTGCGCATCGGCCTCCACACTGGTGAGTGGGGTCAGCTCAGCGGGGATCCAGGGACCCCCACAATTCAGGGCAGCCCCGTCCCCATGTCTTTGGGTAGAGCCTGGACCCTGGTGGGACAGAGCTCTTTGCATGGGTCATGCACATGTATGAGCATGCAAAGCCCCGGGGAGGAGGGGAGGTGGTAGGAGCCCCGTGCCAGGACCCCGCCCAGCACCCCTATCTGTGTCCCCCACCCCAGGGCCTGTGTGTGCGGGGGTGGTAGGCCTGAAGATGCCACGTTACTGCCTCTTTGGGGACACGGTGAACACGGCCTCGCGCATGGAGTCCAACGGGGAAGGTAACGGGCGGGGGGAGAGAGCTGCAACCCAGACCTGGGGGGAGATGGGGGTTGTGGCATGGTACCAGGGTGGGAGGCAGGCCGGGCAGAGCCACCCCACGGTGCTGACGGGCTGTGTCTGGGTCCAGCCCTGAAGATCCACCTGTCGGCGGCAACATGCGATGTGCTGGAGGAGTTTGGCTGCTTCCACCTGGAGCTGCGCGGAGATGTGGAGATGAAGGTGATGCTGGGCATTGCCCCCCCAGCCCCACCCCCACCCC